AGTAAAGAGGAAAGGTCCATAGACGTTATGTGACCGTCGAACCTGTTCGAACTTCGACAGCAGCTTCGAGCTTTGGTGCTTTTTGGCGACAGATATTCCCCATGACAAAATGATTAGGGCAGAGGTAGAAAAGTTAGTGTGTCTAGACCTTTTATCGGGCTAAAACAGCATTCATATTGAAAGTTAACCTGTGTCCTTCACGATAAGACACAGGTAACTTTTTTGAGACAAATTTAGAAAAGTGTCTTATATGCCATCAAATAGTAATGAATTTCCTTCTCAATAGGTTCCTTTTAGAATTCAATTTAATTAAACTCCTATATTCTAAAGGACTGCTAGTCTTAGCAAGAAGAGAAGAACCTGCTAATTTCATTAATGAGTATTGATATAACATGAAGTAATACATGGTCGGCCGCACCAGAGCCAGTGTGGCAGAATTAGTGAAATGCTGAGCTAAAGAATTTCTGGGATAAAATATTTTAAAAATTTATGGCCCATAGGATTATACCATGCAGCAAAATGCCTAATGCTACCCTGTGTATGGTGCCTGAGGCATATACAGATGGATCTCTTAAATTGTCACTTTTCATTTCTATTAGTAATAGAAAAATCTTTCTACAGAACCAGCTCATGTACAAGATAAGAACCATCTCACAATATTCCAAGCTTATCTAGCAAAAGAGAGAAAAAACGGAAACATATTAATGTAAGACCTTTAAAACTGGAAAAAAAAATAAATACTGCTAAAATTAGAAACCAAACAACAAAATCAGCGTTATATTTCAAATTTTCACAAGACTATTTCAATGGTTTTACCAAACCTCATCCTCAGCTGCAACGCGTAAATGAATGAGGTAAGATATAGATTAGATAAGATAGAAAGCCTGGACAGGAGATAAGCTACTGGCACATCTTGATGAAACAGAATCTGTCCCGGTTTCTTATCTTCATATCTAATCATTATATCTTACTTGTTCATTTACACTTTTGAGCTGAGGAGATGTCGGTAACCATCAAACTATCCTGTGAAAAAATTTGAAAATATAATGCTGATTTTTTGTTGTTTGGCTTCTAAGTTAATATTTGTTCAGCATGTTCTTGTATCTTAATCCTTCTAAACATTCTAAGATGCAAGGTCTAACTGGAAGAAAAATTATCTGTACCAACTTTGTAGGTGCAAAAGCTAGAAGAGTTTTGAAAAAAGGGGGGGGAGACAGGAGTAAAGTGAATTTTTGAGAAATTGATACATATTTGAAGATTCTGAAACAATTACACAAGGAAAAACTCTTATGAAAAAACATAAAAGACAAAAGAAATTAATTTAAAATTAGTTATACAGTCAAAAGTTGTTAATCCGGACCTCAAAGCAACATATTTTTTGCACGTGCGTCAAGCATAATGCGTTCACGCATGTGCGTAATACTTTTTCGCATGCGCATAATACGTTTAATGTATAACGGTCGGTATAAGCTAAGCTAAAATTATCCATTTCAGTAAGTTTGAGATTGCGGTTCCTAATCTTCAATTGGATCTGGATTATCATTGTTGCGACTGTTAGAGCATTTATAAAGTAAGCTTGACTTACGATTAGTCAATAGATTCGAGAAAGTACGTTTCGATGTCCATCAAACAAAAAGTGGAATTGCTGCAAAAATGGATACAGGCATACCTTGGTCTTAACCATTCCGAAATCTGTTTATCAATTTCACGCTGCTCTGTCAGGGGGGGGGGACGTCACGACGCGCAATGAATTGGAAGTTGATCTGTCAGCACTATCCTTATCTTCTAGGCAGACGTTTTTATTTTATTCGCCTTATAATTCCTTACTAAATATAGTATTTCATCTCGATGTACTCCATCTTTGATATGATTTAAGGACACAGAGGTTATTGAAAACGAAAAAATTTCTATTGGCAAATTAGTCGGTATTCTCAACACAGCAATTATAGGCTTGAACAGCGGAATTTGTAACTGAACAAGATTAGTCTGTTTATAGAATTAAAGAAGTATTATCACATAAACGAAGCACTTAAACAACTTACCATTGAAAGAAATGTTAATAAGGTAACAAATAAATATTAAGCTTTTTTTTTTTTTTTTTTTTTTTTGTGTGTGTTGTGTGTGTGTAAATTTGATACTCTTAAGATCATAATGTTCTTTATTTCATAAATTACAGTTTCATATTTTTAATTTTATTATTTCTGCATGCCATCTTATCAGATTTAAACTGATCATCTATAATCCGGAATCGCCAAAATCCCGTTGAGTCCGAATTAAAGACTTTTAACTGTAGTAGTTTTTCTGCTTTTCTTAAGTATTTCAGAAACTGTGCTTCATAGCATTTACTATCTTGTTTACTTTTCAGCATCAAAATATTCCTAAATCACCAAAATGGAAAGTAATGTTATTTTATAACCTTTTGGCAGTTGCAAGATCAAGCAATTCTTTCTTTCCAAATATGTATGATATCTGTCGGTCATAAACTTTATTGTGAGTGTATTCATTTGCAGCCACCGTGGTATGTAACTGAAATGCAGACTGAACTCATTGATGATATGCAAAAAATTAAAATATAACAGAAAAAATAAAATTTTTCATTTTAATGCTATTTCTTAAAATATAACTGTAATATGTTATTATTTTTGTGATATTTATGACATGTTTGTAAAAGAAAATCATAAAAAAATTGTAATTCGTTTGTAAAAGAAAATCATAAAAAACAAACTGATCTTGAAATCGCTAAAATATTGAAAAGAATTGCATCAAATTTAGTGCCACATAATAAAAGAACTAATATTTCTAAAATGGAAAAGTTTGTAATATTTACAAAATCTACACTCACAAAAAAGAAATAATTACGAAATGTTTATGTTTCAAATGAGGTCGGTCTTCGTGCCCAAACACTTGAGTATCCATCGATTATATTAAAAAAGTTAGAATTCAAATGATAATCCATCAAATACATATTTATCAATGCATCACCAAAAATATTCCTCCAAAATGTTAATTAGCAGTCAAAATGGCAGTCAGAGAGAAACAGAAATGTTAGAAAAATTAAGGATATTTTATTGAAATTTAAAAACTTAAATAATAATGGATTGTCTGGTAATTAATTAATTAATAAAAGATATAGTGAATCCAAAAAGATCAGGAAACACATTCCAGATACGGAAAAATTCTGGATAGTTGAGCATATAAAAAATGGAATTAGCATTTGAAAAGTCAAATCAATGGGAAAAATTTCGAAACTAAAATTATAAAAACAATCATCTAATTTGTAACCAACTTGAATATCAGAAGCCTACATTTAAACTTATATAAGATTATGAATAAAAATAAAACTCATTTCAATCATAAAAGACAATGCATTTTTTGATTATTATGAAATCCTGCCAAGCATGAAAGTTGGTGGAGATGTCACCAATCATTCCGGTAGAAGTTTAAACGAATGTATAATTCTTCATTAAGATAATAAAAAGATGCAAATATAGCATATAAAAAGTTTAAGCATTTAACATTATTTTTAATGTTACATCAGCACTGTTTATCTGTTAATGTTTTAAGTCAAATATTATAGCGTTTTTTAACACCTTGATACACTAACATTGAAAACACTCCATTCATGCAATACCAAATACTTATCCTTTTTTTTTCAAAATGGCAGGAAAAAACTTGAGTTTATAAAAAATAAATTTATGAAGAATTAATCAGATTTACATTAAAACAAAACAAACTTCTTATACATGTGTTGTGACATTCTGCTTATCCATTACTGGAGCTAAATCACACTGTTTGGTGACAAACATATATGTATTAATAATACAGTACAAATTTCTGAATAACTAAATTTTTTTATGGAGAAAAGTTTCCCTAAAATTCTTAAATATTTTGGCATTTGAATGCCGATAGTCAGGCTCTTATTATATATATACATATATATAATATATCAGCAAGGTAGTAATTACAATTTTGAAAAAACTAATTTTGGTCTAAAAACATCTTGCACAATATGCTGCAAAATAAGTAAAATAAAAAAAAATGTAGTAAGCTCACCTAAAAGTTACCAAGAGTTTGCTCCAAAAAGTTTCAACACGTTTTAAAAATAATACATATGAAATCAAAATAAACATGTAAAACATTAAAAAAACAGAATCAGATAAAAAGGCAAGCGAAAATGGTAAATTAGCCCACTTGACTTCCAAACTGGCTTTTCGAGGGAAATTTCATTTATTTGAATGTCGAATTATTTTAATTACAGTTTTTCATTACAGATTTCTAAAATATAAAAATTAAATTGTTAATCTTTAAGCTTGCAGGCCCAGCCCGTATGTTTTTGTATATTTAGGACTAATAGCTTACCACTATTTATTTTCGTTTTTATTTTTATTTTATTTTTGATTTTAATTTTGATTTTAGTCTAGATTTAAGATGTATAGGTATTGTTTAACATATTTTGACACCTTAATGTGTCATTCTGTGCGGACGCGTTGGGAAATTGGAACAGAGAATTGAGACTATTAAAATTTCCAAGACACTTTGTCTAAATTTAAAAAAAATTTTTGTCGCGAAAAAAATTCAATTGTCTGTTTCGGCAAAACGCGTAATGGGGTTAGCTTGATTCGACGTTCAAATAAATGAAATTTCCCTTGGAAAGCCAGTTTGGAAGTCGAGTTGGGCTAATTTACCATTTTCCGCTTAACTTTTTATCTGATTCTGTTTTTTTAATGTTTTACATGTTTAATGGTTTGATTTTCATATGTATTAATTTTTTAAAACGTGTTGAACTTTTTGGAGCAACAGATATATATATATATATATAAAACCAAGGAGCCAGACATATAAGGGAGAATTTCTCAACCTAATTTTAAGATAATAAGACATTTTCTGTATGAAAAAATAATTTGAATATACTCACCAACACACGAAAAGATATTTCTATTTGAAAAATAGTCTGAATATAAAATTTTAACATATTACATATGGGAATACATGAAACATACCTTCAATTTCTTGCTCACTTGAAAATCTGTAAATCAGCTCCTTTTCATTGAGGCATACTATGTAATCAGATTTCTTTAACGCTCGTTTGAATGCTCGCATTGCTCGAGAATAATCTTGCAATCCTCTGTATGTGCGCCCTTTCAGACTGTCCCAATCCTAAAACAAACAAATGTACGCAGTTGATGTATCCTATGATACATATTTCAGCAGAACCGTTCCTATGTCATTGGCTGCCCGTGTACTTTCCTAAAATTGCCGCTCCCGAATAATAAAAAAAAAAGATCAACGATTAATAAAATTTTTATTTCATGTTTCTTAAGTACTTACATGTATAAAAAGTATTTACATATGACAATTACTTACAATAAATTTGATTAATTTAAATTATTTAGGCATGGTATTGCAAGTGTCTGGTTGTCCCTGATTTTGGCCGCCCACATACTTGTACGCACAGCACACCTGCTAGGAATGGCTCTGTATTTTACAAAATTTTAATTTAATGGCAAGAAAATATTCAGTCAGTTATTCATTTTGTTATGCATATTCATAGCTTAATATTTAAAAATCAAATTTATAACTATGATTGATCCACCTTTCTTTTGCATCTCTCTACAGTTCATCGATATTAGAACGTTGCAAAATGGATGGAAAATGTCATGATTGAAAATTCTGACTAGGTCTATAGCCCTATATATATTGGAAAAATGGGCAGCAGTGTAAAAAGAAAAAGGGCAAAGTAATTCAATAAAAAAGGAATGAATTTCCTTTATCATTTTCTTCCTGGAATATTTATGTGAATATACAGAATAAATGTACACAAATATGGAATCAGGTAGTGTAGTGGCAGAATAAAGTCACAGTAAAAATATTTTTTTTTTTCATTTGACTAGCCCATACTATTCTTACAGTGTTAAATAAGTAGAAAAATTATGAGAGAGAAAACTTAATACTCCATAAATTAAAAACTCATCACAAAAATCTCATATTCCTTCAAAAAATTATATATTTTGTGTAGCAGGATTACTAACTTAAAACTAAGCCTGATTAAAACTGTGAGCAAGAGTGATAAATGGCTGCTTTATGGTCTACTGATATATGCTACATGCCACTAAATATTCATGGATGAAGCTGATAAGACGTTGATATCAATACTCAAATGCCAAGCTACTATATAACCTTATGAATATTTTATGGGATATTTTTATGGAGGTTCAATAAGTGCACAATCACTTTATAAAGATCAGTGCGCAGTATGTAAAAAGAAATTAAAGGTCACAATTCCTAGGGAAGGAATAGCCATAATTAAAAACAAAAACTACAACTACTGGGTCTACACTACCGAATAAGTATTCATAATCCATAATCTACTGCATTCTGATGCCTCATTCAATTTTTAACCCATGAAGAATGTTTAGCACATACATATTAATCATTCTTAAAATCAAAAACTAAATAATATTTTCTCTTAATTTTATATCGTTTGTTTCTAGTAACTTTTTCGTAAGATTTTGATACATACCTAAAATCACTTAAAACACAAGCGAAATTTTTTATTAACACAAGCAGAAATGATAATAATAATAAAATAAAGGAAACTTGATATATACCTTCAGTAACCTTTGATATGATATGCTTAAATTTTCATTTTTTCGTGGGAAAATTAACTGGAAAATCATGAACGAAGCATTTTTACACACAAGATTATGGTACTTTTCCTTCTTCAGAGCATTATGTAAAAAAGGTTTTAAATCCGAACCACTTCGGCCCATTTTCAAATATCTAGCAAGAAAAAATATTAAACATTAATTGATAATTATTAGCGGATACAAGAATAAATGACACATTAATATATATCAATTTTTAATTTGAGATTCATGTTTATTACATTGGAAGCTTTTAAAACACAGTAGTTAATGGCAAAATTAATGATTCAATTATTTTCTAATGATGAAAAATAAATATTCTTTTAATTTGAAGAGATTTCATGCCACCCAGACCATGTAGTGTTTAAAGGAACCGACTGCAATACTGAAGAGCCAGGGAGAAGGCATGGATGCAAACTGTCTGTGCTCTCTTAGGAGGTTATGGTGGGCGTCTATTATGTCCTCCATAATGTTACGAAATGTACAGGTGCAGTAAGATGGCTTCCCCGCAAAGCAGTTTTAGGGTTGCTACATTTGGCGAGAAATCGCCCATTTGGCGACAAAATTAGCAATATGCCACGGACAGATGGAGAACCTTCTGGAACGAATTCTTACCAGTTTATCCCAGAATGTTCTCGGACACAAGCCGAAAGCTATATAAACCCTGCTGGTCCACAGTCAGTCAGTGAGTGCCTCGTCAAGTGCGAGATAGTTAGTATCGAGTTACTGTCTCGTCTAGTGAGTCAATCGAGTTGACAGCCGGGCAGCGAGTCCCGAGTGGGTCGTCAAGTGTGCCGAAATAGTCTCGTAGTGTATCGTGGTTAGTGCATCATTGAGAAATTGAGCTCCGAGAACGACTGAACCGAAGAATCAGGAGCTGTGCTCTGTGTGTTGTCGAGTGCATCACAAGTTGTAGCGTGGAGAGTCTCGAGAGAATGACCGAGCAGAGTCGGGAACTGTACTCTGGTGCTTTGCAGTGAAGCTGTCCCCATTGTGATAGCTTGATAACCTGGAGGCAGTGTCGCTGATGTGTTAGCGTGTTTAATGAATTAATTGTTTAATAATTAGTAGTTCACCAACAACTGTAAAAACATGTTTTGGAGCTGTCCTGACAATACTGGCCAATAAAGTATGTTTCAATACTTCATGAAGTAGTATTGTCATTATTCACTCCAAATCTTCACGAGCCGCGGATGAACATAAAGGAAGAAAATAACGTAACAACTGGTGTCAGGAAAAAAAACATAATAATAAAATGACTGACACTTCTGGCTTTAAGTAGTGGCAAAAATCTAAAAAATGGCTAGTGCCCGGTACTAAAATAATAATAATAATAATAATAATAATAATAATATATAAAGAAATAACAGTAAAATTTTATTCTGTAAAATATATGCTAATATCTTTTCTTCACACTTATTCCCAAAACGTTAACCAAACTGAATTCCCCCCCCCCAAGACAGAAAGTGAGAAATAACAATTCATCTCAAATCACATGGTAAGTAGCAAGAAACAGATTATTATCTGGCTGAGAATTGGATAGAAAACATTTTACCTGGGTTCATAAAAGAATGCAAGCCATGAAAAATTTAAAACACGGATGAAACTAACCTGTTCTACAAAGTATTTTCGAAGCACATATTAATTGAAACTGCTATTGGTTTTAAGAAATTAAAAGAACAAGTTAACTTTGTTATTAACATACAGTACAGAGTAAACAATTAACAGGATGTCGTTAGTTATTGGAAGAAATAGAAAACCCTGATGTTTTAAAGGGCTCAATAATTTAAATTACCATAATGGAAGTGTAGGTACAGTTTTCAGCGCCCGGGGACAACTGAAGATTTTGCGTCCCTTTCTGTGTGCGAAGAATAGAAAATATTTCATTCTGAAATTTCATAACATCAATTTGGTGTCCCCTGGATGGCTGCGCCCAGGGACAGATGTCCCTCCTTGCACAACCCTAGCTACGCGACTGTATCCTAATAACTTGTGGATAACAAGCAGTATTTTTTCTGATTTCCTTTTGAAATGGGTCAGAGAATAAAAAATAAAAAAATAGCTTTACTGCAAAATAACCATGCTGCATGCTCCTCTGATATCAATCTGAAAAACATCCTTTAGAGGAACTCAGTAAATACAACTTCTGTCATTCAGCTTTTAGAGCAAAGTATCATAAAAGCTTTCAAATACTCTTATAGGAAAAGTGCCATTCAGAAAAAGATAAACAAAATTGGATCTTGAAAAGACAAGCACTATGATGGAGCTGTGAAGGAGATATCTTTACTAGAGGCTACATATATTATAGTCAATGCATAGGAAACGGTCTCCCAATATACAGTTAGAAACTGCTTTAGAAAACATGGTTTTTATTTAGAAAAAGCCACAGAGAAATTGCATGCTATTTCCAATATTTCAGACATCAGTGTGGGAAATTATGAAGATTCATTTTAAAAATACAATGTAATTGAGCCAGCATATGAAAACACGAACTATGATATCTTAGAAAGTGTTAAAAATGCTGCAGAAACTGACAATGAAAGTGATATGGAAGAAAGTGACTACACTCAAACCTATTTTTGTGCAATGGATAATGACCACATAAAAACAATTGCACAAAACTTCAGGAGTAACTGTAAAAAACAGAGTCGGAGTCGTTTAGAGTTACTTTTTTGCAATTACCAAGTAGTCAGTGATCAGTTTTTATGTCTTGGGAGCTAGATATACAATACTGAATCTCCTTTTTTAATTGATAACTTTGTCAATTATGTTCCAATTTGAGTGAAATTTTCATGCATCACACAAAAACAGGTTTGAGTGTATATGCCAACTTCAGCTGACTCAAGAAAAACACTGCAAACTCCAAGAACTCTTAAACAGAAAGGTTGAGATCAGAAACACTACCAACAGTTTCATGAACCTGAAAATATAATCAAAAGACTGTAGACGGACAATACAAAACAAATATTGATATAGCGGGTCTTTGAAAAGTTTAAAATTTCATCAAACATGCAATTACAAAAACTTACATTATTATTTACAAATATAAGAATAATATATTAAACAAATTAATTTCCAAAATTTTCAAATAGTTTAGCATTAATTTTTAATTAATAATTTAGACATTAATTATAACATTAATTGTAAATTAATATCTTGCTAAATTCAAAGTTGATACTGGAATTTGCAATACTGAAATTGCTGTTTATTGAACCCAGCTGTGTAACCCTTTGTGTACTGAATTATTTGAAGATTTCGCCAATGGGACGGATTTAATTTGTCGCTATATGGATTATTATGTAAAAGTAATATATTTTATTTGGAATATACTTATATTGGTGATATAAATATATTTTTGAAACAGCATTTTTGTTACAACACTGATTACGGTGGATGAGTCAGACTCGTTCACCGTAACTTCGCATAAGTAAGTAGACGACAAGTCTCACTCGTCAAATGTACTCAAAGGGTTAATAAATTCAAATATGTTTAAAATGGAAGTGACTTTAATAACCAGTGAGTACTGTATAGGTTTTATTTGTGTTATTTTTATAAAGTTGTTATTTTGTTCATTTTGTTGATAGAGGGATACATTTTGTTTATCATCTAATGTTGGTATAAAAGTTTTAAATTTTATGGTTGGCCTGTTGTAAAACAAAAGTTGTTCACCCGTGGTTTAGATAATAGCAATACTATTCATCACAAAAACAGCAGCATCCAACATCCTACAAGTTACAAGAAGAAGTTGGCACTAAATTTTCTCTGGGCATTTTAGTGAATTCTACAGTTTTTGTGGTCAAAAGAGCACTAGAAAGTGGAACATTTTTTAGTCTTATAGCTTGAAATCATTTTGAAGGAGCAATTCAAATGTCTTTTCGATTTTCCACCACTTTTCCATTTTTTACTAGTTTTTTATGAATGCTACTTCTTTGTTTAAGAAAACTGCACAATGCTATTTGCGAAATTCCCATTTTTAATGGTGCTTCTCAGCTGCGTTTACCACATGTATCATACTCTATCAGCAATATATTCTTTTTTTTCCCAAGCTTAAATCATTTCATTTAGGCATTTTTTATATGTTACAATACATGCATACAACAAATAAAAAATATTTCTTCCAGTGATTATTTCAAGTCCAAAATTCCCTTTCCAGACAGGAGGAAGATTGTACTTTGTCAAACTGAACAGTCACTTCATAGTTATCACAGGCATAATCAAAACACTTTTTTTTTTTTTTTCCCCCCAGCCTACAATGACCACTTTCCTTTTCCAATGGAACAGTGATAATATACAATAATGCAAGGTAGCACTTCATGATGTTTTCTGAGAACACTCTGCCAACTTAATGTGTACACACTTCCATCCCCTATCAGCTAGTGTTCAAGATATGGGAACCAGTGCTCACTTAAGCACACCTTTTTTTTTTTTTTTTTTTTTAAATCTTAGAAAACCCTCACCTATTTACAATCAAAGAACTTGCTTCCAATGTGCCTCTACAAGACTGGTTTTGTTGGATGAAATTTCTGCTAAACCCACTTTATTGAAGCATTACATAAATGAAAGATGAATGAACTACAAACAGTTTATTCAGGATTGCAAGGGCCCACCAGCCGTCGAGTGATAAAGTTGCTGAATAATGGTAATTCGAATCCCATGAATAGGCTGGCTGCATAGGCGTTTTTTATGGTTTTCCCTAATATGTTTACGAGCCAGTTTTCCTTAGAAAGTCCTACAAAAAGGCAATCCTCCACTAAGATAGCTCTTGAGTGCTTTGCCGTCATCAAATAAACCAAACCAGATTTCAAGAATCAGTCTTATGCCAGTTTGAGTTTTATAAGAGGTAGAGATTAATGCACAGCAGTTTTCCTAGTGATTAGTATATATCTGTTTTGGCTCCTGAAAATCTGAACATAATACGTGGCTGAGATTATTAACCAGTAAGTTTAATAACTGGTGGATATTGTTATAGAAATACTATTAAGAACAGCAAAAGATAATTATTACAGTACAAAGTCCGTAATCCGGACTTCGGTGATTTTGGATTAGGGTTTTTTCCGGATTATAGATCATCAATTTAAATCTGGTAAGATGGCATGCAGAAATTATACAATTAAAAATATGAAACCATAATTTATGAAATAAAGAGCAATTATGATAATCTAAAGAGCATAAAAAAAACACACACAAAAAAAAGGCTTAATATTTATTTGTTTATCTTATTAAACATTTCCTTCAATGTAAGTTGTTTAAGTTGCTTTGTTTTTTGTGCTAATACTTTCTCTTTAATTCTATAAACAGACTTTCAATGCGACTTCAATTAAACATTTCTTTCAATGCGAGTTGTTTGATTTGTTTTCTCTGCTAATACTATAGACATATAATTCCTTGTTCAGTTACAAAGTTCCACTGTTCAAGTCCTGTAATTGCTGTGGCGAGAATATCGACTAACTTGTCAATCGAAATTATGCCTAAATGGGCTAACATGGCACTGAAATTGCATGGTATGGCTTTAATAGAAAAATACCTTTTAATGTAAATAACCATTTTATTCTAATTATGATACATCATCTATGAAATGCTGTCATTTTTTCTGCATAAATTTTAATCTGTTGATTTTTTTTTCCCGTTTATTGATGTGTTTTTAATCTTTTTTCTTTTTTGTTTATTGAAAGAATAATTTTTTTTTCTAATTTATCATAAAGTAAAAATAGCTGTCATTTTAGTATAAATATATTGTCTGAGTTTTACTTCATTGAATTATTAAAATTGCACTATATGTAAATAAAATCACACATGCTGAAGTATTATTTTTCTTACTAAATTTAAGCAGTTGTGTTTTTATTTATCTTCTCTTATTGTTATTCTTTTGTGATGATTGTTTTTAGCAGTTTGTTATATTAAAAACATTAATTTATTTTTCCTTGTGTAATATTTGCTTATGTGAAAATTTTCATAAATTATAAATAGATTTATGTTGCTAATTTTAGGTCACCTCAAAGTTAAATTCTGGCGGTGTAGGATCTGTAAGTAAACTTGGGAAAGAGTGCAAAAGTCAGTTTAATTCATCGAATGATTTTATTCAGTCAGCCACATTATCCCCAAAAGATAGCTGTTTAGGAATATTTGATGATGTACTAAACTCAAAAACTGATCCACCTTTTCTTAGTTGGGAAGGTCGTATGGTGTAAGTTACATTTCATTAACATGTGACTTTATATGAAAAGTGTATAATTATAGATGGTATTTTAATGTGATTGTTTATGAATTATTTGGTATTCAGATTCAATTAAAGATCTGTAAACATTTCCAAGAAAAATGAAAGTGATATAGATGTTACAATACCTTGTGATGAAAGCAAAGCGAACATATTTGGGTGTTTTTCCTGTTTATGGGACAAGCAAGAATTATAAACTTTTCAGATGCTGAAGCAGATGAATTGACTGCTGTTGGATAATAACACTTGCAAGTTAATTACAAATATAACATTATTGATCCTGAGCTGGGATATCATATGTAGAATAGTGAAATAAACATCAGCTTTGTACCGGTTGCCTACATGTACAATGCCTGTTTTATCAAATTTATGTGGTAGCAATTTCACGAAAAGATATACAGTCAAAAGTCGTTAATCTGGACTCATCGGGACTTCGGCGATTCCGGATTATCGATTGTTCCGGATTATAGATCATCAGTTTAAATCTAGTAAGATGGCATGCAGAAATTATAAAATTAAAAATATGAAACCATAATTTATAAAATAAAGAACAATTATGATCTAAAGGGTATCAAAATTTACAAAAAAAAAAAAAAAAAAAAAAAAAAAAAAAAGCTTAATATTTATTTGTTTACTTTATTAAACATTTCTTTCAATGTAAACTGTTTAAGTTGCTTTGTTTTATGTGATAGTACTTTCTCTTTAATTCTATAAACAGACATAATTTCTTGTTCAGTTACAAAGTTCCGCTGTTCAAGTCCTATAATTGCTGTGTCGAGAATACCGACTAATTTGTCAATCAAAATTTTTTTGTTTTCAATAACTCTCCGTCACTTTCTATTGGAAGCGTGCATGGGTAAACGCTTTACGTACATGCGTAGCGGACGCATGCATTAAACGCGCATGCGTAAGCTTGTGGCTTTGAGGTCCGGATTATAGGTCATTCTGGATAATTGACGTCCGGATTACAGACTTTGTACTGTATAAGTAAAAATCTTAAGCAAGATTTGGCATTGCTTTTTTGCAATCAGTTGGTCAGTATTTTCAATTACAAATAGCAGAACAACTTGCACACAGCTTTCTGACAACACATGGATAAGCCTCGATTGGTTGTCACTTTTATTTATATTCATTTCGGAAAATAACTGCTCACAAATATAGGTACTTCTCAAAAGTGCCATGATTTGTATTGCATGGATGACTAATCGAGAAAATATTTTGAAAATTGCTATTTTGCTGAAAACTTTTGGATATTCGCATTCTGAAATTTATTTCTCAAATCAGTGCTGTTTTGTAAATATAACAATTCCATTTGTAACTCGTAAGGATCTCTTTCCATACCTATATTAAGCACCGAAAAAGATACTAACAACATTTTTTTTTATCTAAACATTTTAAATCATGATTCAGAAAACATTGTTGTTAATTTATATATTCACCTGGCATATTTTTGTGTTTTTGAAAGAGTTTCTTTTTTTTTTTTTTTAATTGAAAATGTAGTATATTATTTGACAACAAATGTTTGTTCCAAATTTTCAATCCACTTTCAAAGGCATTCAGACACCGAGTCACATTCATGAATAAGGCACAATCACACATTTGATCTTTATTTTTGAATTAGGGAAATGGATAATCTTTTATTTTCACAAATAACTGAATTTAACTTTTAAAGGTATATATATTCTTTTTAGCAAAGCACCTTCACACAACCAGCGTAATTCTGTGATATACATTACATTACCATATTCACTTTATAAATCTTTTTAAAATTCTTTAAATTAGTGATGATTCAGTGCTTAAATTGCGCCGGAGCCTGGCTCCGGTACTTCTCAATTTTAAAGATAAATTACAATTTTAGCCGAAGTGCACCGGAGCCCCAAATAAGATGAGCTCCGGTACTTCTTTTTATAATTTCTTGCCATGCCATCGTATCTAGTGTATTGTTATCGATGCTTACAGTTAGTTATTCTCGCAGGAAGGAAAATTTGTGTTATTAAATGTGCATTAAGTGACAGCGAGTACAGTAAGAGTGAAATACTGAAATAAACTGCTCAAGCATGTCCTATATATCGTTTTCCCACAGTATCCACTAATGGGGGGGTAAGCGTAACCAGCAACTTTACATTCATCCTTAGGAGTCAGATTCAGGACTCATTTTCCCCCTGACACACATCTGCTTGATGGGCATAATTATATCAGCAGAGAGCCATGGTCAAAGAAAACGTTCTCTCTCACCAAGATTCCCCTCATTTTTTGTTTCCACCCACTCATACCCTCATTCTGTTTCACCCTAGAATTTTCATCAGCTATACTTTAAGTATATTTAATTTTGATGATGATAAAAGAACTCCCCGCCTATGATCAGAGCTTAAATTGGGCCGGAACCCACCGGATATCGGCTCCGGTGCTTCTTAGTTTTTATAATCAATCATAATTCTAAGCCGAAAATTTTATTTTAATAATAAATTATATTAAAAACGCTTATTAAATTTCAATTTATCTCTTTACATTTTATTTAATTACTTCAACCTTTAATTATTTTAACAAATAATAATTCAATTATCTAATAATTATCAATTAAATTATAATTAATTATATAATAATTATTGATGCAATAACAATTTATAAACATTAATTAATTTGATAATAATTAACTATTTAATTTAAAAATTATTAATGAGTTTAATAGTCATTTTATTTATTTATTTACTCTTGTTCCTCTTTGCTGACAGTCTTCCATAGGGCTCCGGTACTTCTAATCTTAGAAATTAAGCCCTGATAATACTTAAGATAAATCATAAGTTTTATTATAGGCACAGTGACATTTGGCAGTTTTTGCATAAAAATTCTGTCTATGAATTTGCAATGATTAATAAATATTTCTTTGTCAAGTTTGTAATATCATTCATTACATAGCATTTCAATGACTATTTCATGGTTGCCATTGCTCATGCTCTATTGGTTGACATGCCAACAATCTTTTTCAATGGATTTGAAAAATTCCCCAACCGTGATTTCAGTTTTTATACAGATCTTTACCTGATGTAGTTTACGTCACTGACCTCAATGAACACAGTTCTTCAGGTATATTGGAATTGTATCCTATTACAAATATCACTAGGTGTAATGTCTCATTCTCAAGTACCAAGGAACACTTTCAATTTTTTATTGCTTTCACTTAAATTTGCAGCAATAAAACTAATTTTAAAAATAATGTCTTTTTTATAAGGAAAAGAAATTTTTGCAACAGCAGTTAAACATTCCTTAATCATATCTCTATCAGCAAATGGTTCACCTCACAGTGCCACTTAATATTATATCTTTTTTAACACATATACTGGATCCCCTTTGTCTTGTACAAGAGTGAAAAAAAATCCAATTGGTATTTTTAATTTAAACTTTTATTTCATACCTACCCTTTCAGTTTTTTGTTTGTTTCAAGAGCATTTTTTTTTTTTTTCAACTGAAAGAGAAAGCAAGCGTTTATTAAAAAAAAAGCAAAAAAAATTAATTTTCAGTTTAAGAATGCTACCTGCATAATTTTTATACATTGGATAAGTGCTAAATGATGATTACAAGATGTACAAAAACATTGTTTATTCTACATTGCTACTCTAATATTCTAAATTAGTTATGATTAATAATAATAATAGATACAGTTACATAAACACTGCTCGACACTGAAAATGCAACACCAAGGAGTGGTCAGAAATTTATGCAAATTTTAGAGTAGACGCACATCACTGAGTTATGGAAATGATGTGAAATGCGCAGCTCTCCGACACAGAAATAAATTCGTGAAGTAAGATATAAGGGAAGGAACGTGCAGAATGGGCAATATTCGTGTTGTTATTTCTGCCAACCGAATTATGGAAGAAAGTTGGTTTTTGTCCCGGAGGATACGTGTAATAGAAAATGACCAGGCAGCCGTCAATGAAGACACTTCCAGCAGATAGACGATTTTACGAGGGGTATGATGATCGGACTGAGAAGGGCAGCTTGGTCCTTACCTCAAATCGCAGCTGATACCCACATGGATACGAGCACGGTGCATCGGCTATGGCGAATATGGCTGGAACAAGGAAATGTGGGAAGAAGGAGGGGTGCAAGTGCAGCCAGAGTGACGTCAGCACACGCGGATTGACACATTCGCCGACGAGGTGTGGTGGTCCCGCAAGTCACTTGTATCGCAATTCTGCAGCATGTGCAAGATACCCTGGATGTTCCCGTGTCGACCAAAACCATTTCCTGTCGATTGGTTGAACGTGGCCTGCACTCACAGCGTCCGTTAAGAAGACTGCCACTAACGCCAACGTTTAGAATGGTGGCGGACTGGAACGATGTGGATGACAGAATGGCGAAACGTCGTGTTCTCAGATGAGTCACGCTTCTGTTTATAAAGTGACAGTCGCCGCATACATGTGTGGCGTCAGCGTGCAGACAGACCTAATCCGGCAGTAACTGTAGAATGCCACAACCTGGCATAATGGTTTGAGGCTCTATTGCCTACGATTCCAGGTCACTTCTAGGTCGTATTCAGGGCACAATGACGGCCCAACGATACTTGGGTAATTTACTGCGGCCGGTGGCAATCCCCTACCTTCAGGGACTGCCTAATGCAATTTTTCAGCAGGATTATGCCCGACCACACAGTGCTCGCATCTGCCAACATGCTCTGCAAGGTATACAGATGCTTCCCTGGCTACTGTACTCGCCTGACCTGTCACCAATCGAACTTGTGTGGGATGTGATTGGATGCCATTTGTAGATTCTGCCCCTGCCTCGTTCAGAAGACGAACTGTGGCAAATTGTTGAAAGGGAATGGAGAGCCATCCCTCAGGACACCATTCACACTCTTATTGACTCTATGCCTAGACGTGTTTCTTTGTGCATCGCAGTCCGCGGTGTCCTACATCCTACTGAGCCGACGTCGTTCTCGCTCTGTATTCTGACTATCATTTTGAAATAAAGATCACTTATTGCTGCTTGCTGTCTCTGTCTTTTTTCCAAACTTCATCACTTTCTGACCACTCCTTCTTGGTGTTGCATTTTCAATGTCGAGCAGTGTATAACCTCTTAGAAAATACTTAATCTTATCTTAGAACTTAATAAAATTGAATCTGTTTGTTGGGGATCTAGCTAAGAATGACTTGTCTCATTTCCCCGAGGTTAAATTCAATACCCTCAGTAAATGAAGAGAAGCTTAAGAATTATGAAGATGGCTTGAAAAAACTGCATTTTGAGTTCGAACGCAGATTTCAGTGCCATTCAAACAGAACTGGATATTTTTACCATGGCTTTCAACGTAAATTGTGAAGCAGTGAGGTCATATTTGCAGCTTGAATTAATTGATTTGCAATCTAACAATCATCTCAAGCAGTTGTTTCTAAATATGCCAAAGTTTTGAGTTTTACAAATCATTATCGAAAATAAGTATCCCAAATTTAATATCTCATGCCCAGAAAATCAGTGCTACGTTTGCTTCATCTTATATATGTGAACAAGTGTTTTCAACTATAAACCTTAGAAAGAATTATTTCAGAAGTAGACTGACAAATGAGCATTTAGCCTTGTTCCTCAGAATCAGTACATCTCATTTCGAACCTCAATATAAGGTACTTTTATGAAATCACAATTTCATTCATTTCATTAACATATTTAACTTGTAATACTTGTATATTGTTTTTAAAGTTTTAGAAAAATTTATCTTGGCCCACCAAACTTTTTTCTTTCAATTTTTGGCCCGCGACTGAGAAAGTCCGCCCATCCCTGCTCTAGCCCATACAGCGATGTTCTTCTGCATGTCAGACCATACAAAACGCTGTTGAATTAACATGCGGAAAGCTCCGATACCAAGATGGGATAAATTGTGAAGGTTGCTAAAAATACCATGTTGAAATTTCAGTGGACTGTGTAGGGCCGCACAACACTGTCTTGCACATCGCAGTACAGTGAAAGATTTGGTTCCAGCTGCACAGGTAATAAATTAAGTCCATGTGAAGCTCTGTTAGACAAAAGATTTTGTAATTCTGAGTCTTATTTCTGACACTCTGCAATGGCGAAGAAATCTGTTGCTGAAAGCAACTGAACCTCTTCAATTCTGCGCAGAGCATTTTTGACCATATTTTGAGATCCTTTTACATGCCTAATATCAGTTGTAAACTGCGCTATATAAACGAGGTGACACATTTGTCTACGAGAGACCCTGTCAGGCTTTTGTTGGAAGGCAAAAATCAGAGGCTCGTGGTCGGTATAGACAGAATACACTTAACCTTCCACCATATGACAAAAATGTTTAACTGCCTCATATGCACAAAGTTCGTGGGCATACATGATATATTTTGATTGTGCTGCAAAAAACTTTTTTGAGAAGAATGCCAGTGGCTTCCATGCTCCGTCTATAAGCTGTTGTGAAACTGCACCCATGGCTTAATTAGATCAGTCAACCATTAATGTTATTATTATTATTATTATAAGGGCACAGCCCCAACGGATGCTTAGAAGGGTAACTAAGAGCTGTTGCCGATGCTAGGTCCTCCTTAGATTGTACAAAGTCTGTGCGAGATCCGGCCGATCAAATAATTGGCTGTGCATCTTTCTTTTAGCTGCCGATTAAATATGTATGCAAAGGAGCCTGCTTTGCAGCAGCATGAGGGAGGAAGAGATGGTGAAAGTTCATACAGTGGCTAGGCTCCACTGTATGATGGTCTAACACACATAGAGATGGTTGATTTTAAATAATAAACATTTACATACAATTACCACATAACTACTCATTACATTAGCATCAGAGGCCAAAATAGGACTGAGCATGATGGCGACAGATTTTAGTGCGTCCCGAAAATCTCCGTTATAGTTACAGCTACAAATTCGGGCACATGGTTGGCGAGTAACAAAAACGAGTTCACTTTGACCCAGATGTCGGAAGAAAAACGGAAAAAAATTGCTGAGTATCAGAATGCAATGAAGAAAAAGAAAGTTAGAGGAAGACTAATAAACCAGAACTTTAAAATTACTCAGTTTTTCCAAAACCCAGGAAATACCCAAGCTGACACTACTAGCACTTAGTCGTCTATCAACGTCTCTGCTACCATTGAAATACCAAACAAACTTAACAATCAGAAAGAGTTAGAAAGTGTTTTCACATGAGAAGGTAAACAGCTTTCGAGTAATTATGCTCAGATCGTTGCTTTTCGAATTAAAAAGTTTACCTAAGTTTAAGATAATATGTACTTGCACTTAACTTTTTTAATGTAGAAAAACAATAAGAACAAGCAATCACAAAAATGATAAATGTTGTAAAAATTACTTCTATTGCAACAGTAGACACAAAATAAGGATTAAGAAATTTGTCAAATGTGTCTACCCTTACATACGCATCGGCATCCCGCATTTTCACGTTCAAATAAGACAGAAGAGAACACCAGAGACGATCTCCTGCCCTGGTTATAACTTTTAGTCAAATAAGACAGTATGCTAGCAGGAAGGGGCTTTCATACCTGGCAAGCTCGAAACTGCCTTAACACAATTTAAATGCCCCAAGCCTTAGAGGCGATACAAGAAGCCGCTAACCTATCGGTCGAGCCGACGAGCTAAGACTGAGTCGACAGGAACACTTAGCAACTCGCATTCCACGTCCAAATTCTGAAGGGATGGTAAAAACACCTGCCATCAACAGGGCCACGACGCCAGACAGCAGCACGAAGTCATTTAAACACTGTCAGACAGACCGGGCCACCAATCCGGCCTCCTAACACTATGTTTTGGTATGCAGGTGTCGGCTTTAGGTGCCTCCAGGGGGAAACCATTGGATGGATATTAATATGCAGTTTTGAGGCTCCAGGTGCCCACTGAAAACCTCAAGTGTTTAAAGGCTCGCTGAATTTGCTAACTCCACTAAAGGGGGTGTTTCCCCAGGACAAGCATGTCTCGAGTATATAGCTCAACTACAACCTGATAAGAACACCATATAGTCCTGCCAAGCCTGAAATAGCCATCAATAGCTACGACTCCAGTCCTGGGAAGGCTGATTTTAAACACCCATGGCTGAGACTGCGTTCCAAACATCAATTCTGAAGGTGACTCAATTTCAGCTGAAATAACAGAGTAACAATATTCCACTAATACTAAATATGGATCCTTGTTGTCAACTGCAGCTTTTTCTAACATTCGCTTGACAGTCTGAATGTGTCTTTCAATCATTCCATTTGATTATGGATAATTTAGAATTGAAGTTCTGGTTTCAAAATTCCATCTTGATCCATCCCGAAACTAATGGAATTACTAAATTAATTAGATCAATTTCTATCTGAAGGAACAGTGTATCTCTACATTATTTAAGAAAATTTTTTCTCTCTCTCTCCAAAAACCCAGAAGTTGTAACTTCTGCGCATTTGTTTGAAACATTTAATAAAAAAAGTTCAAAATCAAATGGAATACATTTTGACAGATTTCCTATAGAAGAATAAAGGTTAGTACAGTCAAAAGTCGTTAATCCGGACTCGTCGGGACTCGGTGTTCCGGCTCATAGCAGCAGTTTAACTTGGTAAAATGGCTGCACAAAATATAAAATAAAATTGAACGTAATTTATGAGAACAATATGATCTAAGGGTATAAATTTTATATAAAAAAAGCTTAATATTTATTGTGTATTTATAAATAGTTTTGTATGTAAGTTGTTTAGGCTGTTCGTTTTAGTGATAAGATTTCGCTTATCGTTCGTTACAAAGTCGCTGTTCAAGTCCTAAATGCTGGTCGAGAAAAGATAATTTGTCATCGAATTTTTGTTTCAATACCGGTCACTTTCGCGCATCGGAAGCGATTATAATGACGAGGAATTTTTTAATCATATTAAAAGACGGAGTACATCGAGATGAAAACACATTAGAAAAATTATAAGCAATTAAAATAAAACCTTGCTCGAAGATCAGGATAGTGCGCCGAGCAATTCCCTTTTGGCGCCGAGGCGTTCAGTCTCAGTCTTTACATTAATTTATACCCGAGTCAAATACTTTTCCACTGCAGTTCTCAGATGCATTTCTGTTTTGCATAAAACAGTCTGAAGATCAGTCCTTTTAGACTTTTCATCCACAGAAAGATTGGAAACAGTTTTTTCACCACTTTGTAGTTCATTCGCAGCATGCCTACAGTTTACCTTGGAATTTTTAGTAGATGGTACATGCTTATTTTCCTCCGTTTCCTGGGAACCAGTTTCGATGTCTGCACCAGGGTCGCGAATAGAATCCGATCCTTTACAACCAGAAGTATCCGGCTTTAGAATCAAGTCCTTGTCTGTAAAATCTGCACTATGAGACAGACACACAGTTTGCGAGGTGAGTGAATTTTCTTGCAATACTGGAGCACACTGCTTAAGCTGTACATCAGCTTCTCCCATCTCTGCATCATATGCACTTTCAGAGGTCACATTGCGATGCGTTTCAAATTACATCAGTTTCTACGAAACTGCAGTCGCTTTTCATTTCTTCTATCTCTACTTCAGGCACGTGAGAATCAAAACTCCCTTCCCGTCTTTTCTTCATGTTGTTCTTTTCTTTAATCCCGTAGATTTCAGGATCATTTTGATCTTCCAGACAGTCATAGCTATTCCTCATTCTTTGATTCTTCAGATACCATTTCTATCACTTGCATATCGTCTTTTATGGCTCCAGTTTCTTCTGCAAGCTCCACTTTCAGCTGTTGGAGCTGCTCTTGCACCTTTTCTTGGCCGACATTTATTTCTTCCCGCCAGACTATCTTATCTTCCAGTCCCACTTTCATCTCTTTCAATGCGGCTTTGATCTCAGCTGTCATCTCTTTATATCCAGATTTTATCACTTCATGTCCAGCTTTCAACTCGGCTAAAAGGACCATCAAAGTCTTCGTTTCTTCCACCATGGCTTTCCTCTGCAGGCAGGTCACTGGCATTCACTCGCAAATCCCACTTCTGACACCAGTTTTTGCATTTTTCTTTTCTGAAACCGGTTGTTACGTTATTTTCTTCCTTCACGTTCATACGGGATTTGTGTGGATTTGGAGTGAATAACGAGGACACTTGATGAAAGATCGAACACTTATTTAGCAAGAATAATCAGACAGCTCCAAAGTCCGTTTTACAGTAATCGAGATCTACTATCACGCGCTGGACAATCAGCGAAGAGCCTCCAGGTTTCAGCTATCACGGTGGAGACAGCTAACGGCAAAGACAGATACAGCTCCCGATCTGCTTGGTTTGGAATTCACGTCTTCGAGTCTCTCCATCAAAGACACACAGAGCACAGCTCCGCTCTCGGTCAGTCATTCCCGGAGGTCAACATGCTCTCTCGAGATCCAAACGTGATACAATACGAGACTCTCGGTGCATTGATGAACAATCAGGACTGTGCACGGCTGTAACTCGTTAGACGAGACACTAACTCGATATATGCACTCACTCCTGACTGCGGCCCGAGGGTTTATATAGATTTCAGTGTGTTGAGAACATTTGGGCTAAACGGTAAGAATTCGTTCAAAAGGATCATCCGTTATGGGTATCACCAATTTTGTGCCAAAATGGACAATTTCGCCAAATGTGGCAACCATGCCTTCCATGCCATTTTGGCAACTTAAGCTGTTTGCGTGGAAGACATTTATGCGCTGTACATTCGTATAAAATAAGCATTCAGAATGTCTTTATTATTATATAGTAATTTTTAATGAAAAATGACGGGGTTTAAAAATGGTTTTAAATACTGAATCATTTAACACTTTACACTTTTAGTCACATTTTGCAGCTTATTTATTTGCTATAAAAAATTACTAAGTCATTCTCTAAGATCATTCTAGGTATTAGATTCTAGAATTACTGACAATAAAACAAGAAAATGCTTGCATCAGAGTG